GCCCCCAGGCCGTTCTGGACATCGAGTGCAACTTGCCAGAGCCGACCCTTCGAGTTCGACACCGCTTTGTCTTGGGTTTCGAGTTTACGAGGTTTAGGGTTTAGGAGGTTTAGGGGCTTGGGGCTGAGGGCTTAGGGCTTAGGGCTTGGGTGCTGTCTGAGTTTGTACCATCAGCGATGTTGCAAAGCCGCGATGCAAGAAGAAGAAAGCGCTGCCTGAAGTCTCCATGCGAAGTGCAGGCTGGGTACGAGATCTGCACCTAAACGACCGGCTTGTACGTTGAAGGGGAAACCGAAGCCCTCCGGGCTTCTCGCTGTCTGAAAACCCTAAGCAGTAAAATCCTACGGATTTTCTCACATATACCCAAACCCCTAGACCCCTAAACCCCCAAGGTTTCCTGAAATTCCTTTACCCATGACCGCAAAGCCCCAAAGTAGGTCCGAGTTCCGAGGACCTCTAAACAGCCGAATTTCTGCAAAATCGAAGGCACCACCCCGCTGGAGACGGCCCTGGATGAGGTCATACCTTGGATCAAGGAGCAGGCGAGTCGGAGCATGCGGGTCTTTGCGGTTTTGCACCTTACAGTTAGCGCGCCTGTGGGACCCTTATAAAGGACCTTACGGATTTAGGGTTAAGGGTGGGGCCTTTGTATAGGATTTAGGGTTTAGTTGTCCAGTTTTCGGGGTGTCGGGTTTGGAAGCACGGTAGCTTGACACTGCCTATACTGCCCAAACCATACGCCGTATAGTCCGAAACCCTATGAAGCTTAAAGCGCTCAATGTAGACCGCTGTGCCCTGAAGTGGGAGTGTGCTAGGGGTCCCAGCATAAGGAAAGACATTGCAAGAGAGGGAGTTGATTCATCAGGGGCTTACCCTAACACTCCCAAAATGGCTCAAAATAGCCCAAAAGCCTGATATAGTATGGTCTTTGGGCCCAAAAGCCTTGAAATATGAGTCCTTATAGCCTTAGGGACTGTTACTGGTTCAGAGGCCGAAGGAAGTTAATTGGGGGTTCACAGGTTTGGCGCGTTCGCGATCCGGTCGAGGGCTGAAGACCTACTTGTAGACAATATGCTTTTCCAGCCTTTCCCGAACTTCTGCGGCCTCCACCCCGGTCGCTGAGAATCAGGCTCTATACAACCGGCCCCATACAACGTACAGACAGGGATGGACACGATTGTGCTGAATCAAAGAGGGAGCAAGTGCCGCCCTGCTAGGTGGCGTTGGGTACCATCTGAGTGCTGGGCACTTTCGGGCTGGAAGTGAGTTCGGGGGGCCAAGTTTAAGTTTAAGCATCTGGCTTCTCCCAAATTCGCCAGGGTTTTGGTTTCGTTCGGTCGAGAGACTTCAGGGAGCATCCTGGCTGTGAGGCTTCATAGGGGGTTTAAGCGGCAATCTGCAGTTTAGGATATTTATTCTAATTCATAGCCCTAAACCCTGAATCCCCAAACCCTAAACCCTACACACCCTATATAGACGGTTTGGGACCCAGTAGGTTGAAGGCGCCAGAGATCTCAAAGGTAGGTTTATAGGGGTGTAGGTTGAGTGTATTGCTTCGTTGAGGTTCACAGTGGCCCGGTAGGGCCCGGTAGGGTATGTAGTGCTGATGGAAAAGTTGGGTTACTGTTCTTACAGCTCTAAGGCACTTACAACTTATTGCGTCCCCCGGGCCTCTGAGAAGCTGCGTAGTATGTCCGATGCGCTGGGGAGCCGGTTCACGACCGGTTTGCAGCAAAAGGTCCATGCTGTTCCCAGAGATAGTAAAAGCCCCGTGCCGTGAGTATTTCAGAAGACTTCTGAATCCCTAACCCCCCAGGTACCTACTATATAGGGTACTAGAGCCCCTAGGGCCCTATATAGTAGGTACCTGGGGGGTTAGGGAATTCTAGCAGGGCGGCGGAAAAGGTGTCTTCGGCCGAGGGAGTTTCTGTGTTTCTGTTCATGGGTGTTCAGAGCTGAAAGTGATATCCAGCTGTTACGATGACGAGCAGCCGGGCTGAATTAATACATTATGGCCACCACTGCTAAGGATGGTGGTCAGTATTCTAACATGAAAATACACGTATGGAGCTGAAGTATCATGGCAGGTTTAGGGTTACCTTCCTCTGCAAGCCAAATCCGAAGTTCATTGTGCATTCAGTGCCGTTTCTGCACCTTCAGAAAAGTTCGCGAGGAAGCTGAGGCGGCAGGAGTGAAGGTAATGCCCTAAACCTTGCAAAGCCAAGCCCTGCAAGCACCTCAGGGCTTAGAGAAAAAAACCCTACACCCTAAACTTTAAACCATAAACCAAAAAAGAACTAAACCCTAAACCAAAAAAACCCGAAACCAAAAAAACCCTAAACCCTAAGCCCTACGGTGTTTTGTGATGATTGAGTTCGAGGGAGCAGGACGAAGCTCCATACGGATCTCGAAACTGTGGGCTTTTGGGATCATAGTTCACAGTCTAAGCATCTTATATATATATACACAATATCAAACATATATATGTATGTATGTATGTATATGTATGTATGTATGTATGTATGTATGTATATGTTATATATATGTATATGTGTGTATATATATATATGTATACACATATAACACACACACACATATATATATATACACATACATATGCACATACAACCCCAGCATCTTGACACTTTCTGAAGCCCTGAAGCAAGGTTCAGGACTGCGGTCCTCGCACAGGTGCACTGCCTGCTTTCTCAAACTTCGAACATGTTCTCGTAGTGATCCAACCTACTGCCCCCCCCCCCCTCCCCAACATCCTTAATCTCTACACCCTAAAGCCCCGGGCGAGGCCTTCGTCCTTCGTGCGGCAGGCAGTCTCGGTGTTTAGAGGCTTTCTGTGTTCTTTTTGAGGGGTGTATATGGGCTCGTATTTAGGGGTGCCTACTAGAGCGTGAAGATTTGAATATCCACAATTTTTGTTTAAGCAAGGTTCCAGCAGGATCCTGAGACTAGGTAGCGCTTAGTAAGGGGGTGTACTATAAGGTTGGGAGAGCATCGGTTCCTCATCGGATCTTCATGAGAGTGATGAGACAGCAAGACTAAACGACCCTGAAAACTTTAACTTTTAATTTCTTTAACACCAAAACTGTTTAAACCCTAAGCCCTGAACTTGGGAAGTGCTTCAGCACCATCTCCCCCGGGTTTTAGGGTATTTGGATTTTAGGGTTTTAGGGTTTAGGGCTTTAGGCTGCAGCTACCGTGACCGCACCCTGTCGAAAACCCAGGCCCGGCCATGTGGTTGTCCCGACGAGGGAGCAGGTGCAAAAACGAGTTCCAAAAAACCTAAACCGCCCATTCCCAAACCCCACCCGGAAGTCGTTGCTCCGCGCCTGCCAGCCACTGAGTCCAAAGTCTCAAGGCAGACACGCCCAAATCAGTAGATGTTGGTGCTCGGTATGAGCCTTGGGCGTTTTGGTGTCGCCCTCCATCGCGCAAGCTTCAAGTCCATCAGATACCAGCAAAAGTTCAGGTATACTCTACAATCTTCAATTGTGGTGGTAAACACAAGAAATAGATGTAGAACTAGTTTTCATTTCAACCTCACCTCTCGAATTCGAAGCCCTACAAGCCTGAGCCAAAACTCAAACCGCAGTCCGTAGCCCCGGCGCCCCGCGCTGGAAGCAACTCGAAGCCCTGTGAAAACATCTTTAGAATCTAATATGGGTGGGGGAGGGCGAAGGGCTCTGAAAATTATAAACAGCTACAGCCCCTGTATGTTTATGGCTGATGGCATAAGATTCGGCAGAAGCCGATTCTACTTGTTTGGGCCCCCTTGCCAAAGCTGGAAGTCTCAAGTGTACGACATACCAGGGACATACCTAATCCGGGGTACCCTAAACCCTTAAACCAAAACCCATGAACCCTAAATCCTAAACACTTAAAGAAAATTCTCAATAAGCCCTAAAACCCCCTAAATAGCCAAAGCCCGGAACCCTATAAACCCTTAAACCAAAAGCCTGAACCCTAAATCCTCATGCCGCCCTCGCCGTCGTCGTCGGGCCCTGAGCGCTCTGCGCCGCCAAAAGAAGACTATGGGCCAGGCAGTCGTTCTATGGGGTTCCTGTACAGGGTCCATGAAGGGTTCTCTTTAGGGTTCTAGTAGTAGGGTTCCTTTAAGGGGTCTATGAAGGGGTTCTAATAGTAGGCTTCCTTTACAGGGTCTATGATGGGTTCCCTTAGAGTCTTAATTGTAGGTTTGCTTTTAAGGGGTCTATGAAGGGTTCCCTTTAGGGTTCTAGTAGTAGGGTTCCTTTAAGCGGTCTATGCAGGGTTCCCTTAGGATTCTACTAGTAGGGTTCCTCTAGGGGGTTTATGAGTGCTCCCTTAGGGTTCTAACCATAGGGTCGCACCAATCCATGATTCTGCTTCATTGTGTGTGTGCCTGCGCTTCCTCTCATGAGCCCTAAGAAACCTCCACAGGCCTCGACCCTGCGGCAAGAGTATCAGATGAGGGCTTGGGGGTTCAGGCCTAAACCCTAAACCCTGAACCCTAAACCCTATAAGCCCTAACCTCAAAGCCGACAAGCCTTGAGGGTAGACAGGCTATGCCTTGGCCACCCGGTTTTGGAAAAGGGGCGGCCTCAACAATTTGAATGGGCTTCTGGGGTACAGTATACTATTTTCCCTCAAAAAAAGATCCGTTCGGGGCTCCAGAGTTTATTCCAATTGCTATTTGGGCCCAGGTTGGCAAAGTACCTCTACCATAGGGTACACGAAATGACTGAGTGCCAGGTTTAGACGTTCCGGAAAGTCTATGGTAGAATTAAAGGGTGCGTCATATGCAGCGCGGCGAAGATGTGTTTCGGGACAGAGGTTGGTATAGCCTGTGGGTCAGGCGGATCATATTTTGAGTGTGTCAGTGCTGCGTCAGGCTGACAAGACGCCCCCATTCCCCGGTCAATCCAAATAATAGGTTCTTTCAAAGGAGATTTTCATGTGCTGGCAGATGCACGTGAGGCTGGACACAGCTGACAGACCATGGAAAGATGTACCTCAGCAAGAAGGACACTGCTATTGAGAAGTTTTTCGGAAAGGAGTCAGTAAATTGAAGCCCTGCCCTCGTTAATGGGCTACGTAGGCTTCCGGTGGCTTGTAGACCAGAAACTTCCAAATATCCGTGGTCGGGAACCCTCGGGTGGATAGTAGTTGGACAAAGACACGGTTACCGGTCGCAACGAGAAAATCCTAAACCCCAAACCCTAAACTGGCCCTAAACCCTAAACCCCAACACCCAAAATCCTAAACCCTTAAGTTCCAGTGTTTCAGACCCCGAGTCGCTGGCTTGCAGTTCTCTACAGCACGTCTCTCATATTCCCAAGCCTTGGAAATCCTTTAACCCCCAAGCCTAACTTTAACAAAGGCTTTCATATGAAGCCGGGATTACTAATTACTACCACAAGCAATTCCTTAGGGTTCCCCTTCTGATTACAAAATATCATACTGTTGATGATATAAATCCTGCATTACCTTAAGGGTCCTAAACTATACGAATTATGGCATATTCCTTAAGATGGGTAATGCAGGATTGATATCATCAACCGTATTTTGGAACCTTAGTTTAATCATTCGTGCCCTTGCATTACCCGTACGAGGATCCCCCACAAGGCCCCACACTCATCATCATGAGGCAATCAGGAGGTCTACGATGAAGGGTAGTTGCTTTCGGCCCGTAGCCCTAAACCCTAAATCCTGCACCCTAAGCCCTAAAGCCCTATAATCCTACAACCTAAAACCCTAAAGCCCTAAAGCCCCAAACCCTACTGTATACCCTATCCTTAGCGGCTCTAGAAGCCGCGGCCCTGAACCCTTTGACCCCGAAGTCTTCGGAACATCACGAACACTGCCTGAGTCGCACGTCCGCAACCCTACGCCCGGAATGCTTCTTAGGGTTTAGGGTTAGCGTGTATAGTCTGGGATTACTGCTCCGAATATACGCCTTCCTCGCGAGTTGGATCCTGTAACCTGTAACCCTGACCGTACAAACTGAACCCCATGGCGAAACCCTAGTCCGTAGGAGTTAGGCCCGAACCATTTGTCGTCGTCCTTGCAGGAGAAGAACGTTTTCATCCTGGAAGGTACCCGGGTTTCGGCAACTCTGTTTTGCAGGGTCTGGTGCTTGAGGTATATCATCGTGCTGTATGGCATGTATGCGTGTGTGTGTGTCTTAACAAATCAGTTTGGCCTCTTGCAGCAAGTGTTGTACAAGAGACCTATCAAAGTATCATCGGCAATATCTAGAATATAGCAGGAACAGTGTTACTAGTATCAGCATCAGCAGGAATGGCAGTAAGAGGAAAAGGGTGTTGATTCAGATACCACAGATGTTTGCCGAACCCTTTGTGTTATTAGGCGAAAGCTCTGGTAGCAACAACAGGACTACAAGGTGTTAAGTGAGACCGACACCGCAACTAAAAGCAGCTGTGCAACTACTACTACAGCATTACACACAGTTCTTCAGGATGAACTACTTCCAAGCCGACACTTGGGGAACTAACATAAGTTAAGTTCATTTAACACACCTATGCTGCTCATGAGTGCCATTGTCGGTTTTAGGAAGGCATGCTCTATGAGTGTGAACATAAGCTAAATTTTCTACCACATCCAAGCCAACAAAGACCTAAACTCTAAGATCTTAACCCCGAAGCCTGACGGCAAAAGTCAAAATGCACTTCCGAAGGTACCAAGTCGGCAGGATTCTCTGGCTGTCGCCCAGCACTTCTAGATCGCCTTTTTAAACAGGGCTCCATCGGGCTTCCGAGCTTCGTAAGAGCTAGGGTTGGGTTATGTGCATAGTACCTCGGGAGTTGGAGTTTAGGATTTCGGGTTCCGGGTTTGGTTTGGGGTTTAGGGTTTAGGGTTTTGGTAATTTTGAGTCTGGGGTTTGCCGGCTCAGGGCTTTATTGGGGAGTTTCGGGATGTAGGAGTGTGAATATGTGAGCGCACTTTAAGACCCCGACGCCCTATCCAGAATTATTGTCTGCTGTACCTGGTTACCAAGTGTTGTGGGATTTTCTGCGCATCTGCTTCGGGCTTTAGGATTTAGGCCCTGGGTTTCGGTCATGCACCCACCAAAACCCTAAACCCTAAACCTTAAACTCTAAACCCTAAACCCTAAACTCTAAACCCTAAACTCTAAACCCAAAACCCTAAAGCCCTAAAGCCCTAAAACCCTAAACCCTAAACCCATCCGGTATTGGCTTGAAGAGCATTGCATGGGAGGAGCCCAGATCTTCAAAGCTTCTTTGCCTACGGCTGATGACCTAAATCCTTAGCATCTACCTTAAGGACCCTAAACTATGGGAACTATGGTATATTATATATATAATATATATATATATATTATATTATATATATATATATATTCCTTATTATTATGATGACCTAAATCCTTAGCATTTACCTTAAGGGCCCTAAGCTATGGGAATTATGGGTATATATTATATATATTCCTTATTGTTATTGTGACCTAGATCCTTAGCATTTACCTTAAGGACCCTAAACTATGGGAATTATGGGTATATTCCTTAGTATGGGTAGTGCAGGATTTTTATCATCAACCGTATGACTGGTCCGAGCTTTAGGGTTCAGGGTTGCAGGGCTTCGAGAAGCAACTTGTTTTCAGAAAAGCTACTTCCTCGCTTCAGGGCAACTCTTATAGGGTCTTAGAAGTTCCTAAACCCTAAACCCTAAAACCCCTAAACCCGAAACCCTAACCCTAAACCAACCCTAAAACCCCTAAAACCCCCAAACCCTAAACCCTAACCCTAAACCAACCCTAAAACCCCTAAAACCCCTAAACTCTAAAACCCCTAAACCCTAAACCCTAAACCCCTAAACCCTAAACCCTAAACCTAAACCCTAAAACCCCTAAACCCAAAACCCCAAAACCCCATTAGGATCTTCCAACGCCATTCTGATGTTGACTCTACCCATAGGCTCCTTAGTAGTTCCTTTTGGGGATTACCTTTTAGGATCCTTAATATAGAATTGGTTAAACCAGAAAAAGGAACTACAATGGAGACTATAGGTAGCGCTAAAGGGTTAGGATTTGGGAGTTTGGGGCTTCGGTTGGTGACCCTTGGCATCGAAGGACTCATATTTTAAGGCTTTTGGGCTCAAAGACCCTATTATATAAGGCTTTTGGGCTATTTTGATGCTAAGGGTGAGGTTCCTTGCTTTCGGGGTAAAGCTTTGCACAGTAATGTAGGGGAGCCGTAATCATTAGAATAGGGTTTTGGGGTTCCTTATTGTAATTAGAGCATAATATACCCCAAAAGCCTATTCCAATTATTTAGGTTCCTTTTTGTAATTATAGTATAATCTACCCCAACACCCTATTCTACGTTTAGGCTTCTCTAGTAGACCCTAAACCCTAAACCTTAGTGTTCGGAAATCCCAGGCGGCTATGGTGGCAGTCCCGAGGCCCGGAGATGGACGCTCATTTCGCGCCGTCGTTTTTTGCGTCACTGGGTTTGGGGTTTAGAGTTTAGGTTTTAGGGTTTAGGGTTTACGGTTGAGTCGCTGCAAACCAGATGCAAAAAAGGGTTTAGGGTATTTTGGCAGATGCCGCAGGCTGCAAAGTCCACACCCAGAGCTGTCGGGAGCAGGCCCAAACCGTACCTAAGCCCTAAGCCCTAAACCCTAGGGTCTATAACTTATAAACTCTAAACTCTACCCCAAACCCTAAAGGGTTTAGGGTTTATACAATCTAAACTCTACCCTAAACCCTAAAGGGTTAAGGGCTTATAGACTCTAAACCCTTCCCTAAACCCTAAGGGGTTTATAGGGTTTATAAACTTCTAAACTCTACCCTAGACCCTATAAGCCCCGAGCCCCTAAGAATCCCACAATCTCGCCTTGCGCCTGCAGGAGCGGCTGGCGATGGAAAGCGGGCCTTTCTCACTGACAGCGGAAGTCAAGTGCCTTGGCCTGGAATCACCCAGAAAGCCCAATAACCCTTAATAAAGGAATATACCTTATAAATCATAATATGAAGGCCCCTATAATATAAGAAAAAATTCGCTTGGGCTTCCGGGAATCAGGGCCCTCAACCCGCAAGTTTAGGCTTGGATTTGGGTTTAGGGTGCTGATTGGCAGGGTCTGGGTTCAGAACAGGGGTTCAACGTAAAGGGCTTAGGGGTTTAGGGTGGCGACCTTCCCTTTTCGTTTGACCTCTCACACATGTTCCGGCTGCATCCACTATCGCCATGCAAGCAGCAGCCACTGTCCGATGTGAACCTAGACTCCCGCATGCTCACATGCTGTAATTTGTATACATTTGCTGTTGGCTCGGCATGCCACATGCCGAGCACACCGTACCCTCCTAAGTTCGAAACTCGAAACCGGAAACCCGGAATTCGAAGACACCCTAAACCCTAAACCCCTAAACCCGGAATTCGAAACCCGACACCCTAAACCATTATCCTAAGATGCGTCTTTTCAGGTGTGTGCCCGGGGAGCAGATCCTCGTCTCAAGTCTTGGCCTGGGGGTTTTTCCATTAGGATTTAGAGTTACGGTTTGGGGTTAGGAAACCTTTAACCTTAAACCCGCTTAAAGACTCGGAAAAATCTTTATGGATGTTTATAAGGATCCCTGTCATGATTTCCACATGCGTGTGCTTACAGCGCTGTAGGTTTAGGGTCCGGCACAACGAAACCGAGCCAAGCACGACATTCCCTAACCCGGAAAGGTTGAACCCGAAATCCCAAGCCCCAAGACACCAAACCGCGAACGTAGACTCAATGCCAATGCTATTACTTAGTAGGGTTTAGGGTTTAGGGGTATGTCCCCACTGTATCGGAGGCTTTGCAGCTTAGGAACCGTTGGTTCCGATGACCCTCGCAAGCCCGCGTTCATTTTGGTTATCTGGGGGGGAAGAGTCATAGCCTACATGAACATTGGGTCATAACTTGCTAAATGTGCCGGTATTGAGGTTACACATAGGTTTTAATATAAGCTTTAGGATTGTGTTGGTGCGTCGCCACAATGACTTCAGTCATCAACCCATACTATCCAGGTGAGTACCGCTTGTCTTAGGCTCGAGGGCATGTGTCATGCTTCAGAGGTGTTTGCTTGTGCCGAAAGTCATCATGCTGCATGCATTTGCAGAGTTTCTGCTGTCGGTTTGGTGAGCAAGTTGTTAACTGTATACAATGTGATATAGTAATACAACTTCGCTCCACCAGTCCAAACATTGGCTCCTTGGAAAGAATCATTTGGTAGAAACTGGATGATTGAACTCCCGGCCTTTGCAAAGCAAGCACTGCGACAAAAGCTTGGGTTTTGCTATGTTGAACATGCGGGTCATCAGGGCTTATATGAAAGGATGCCGGGGCTTGTGAAATGCAGAGGCCTGCTGCGAACCCCGACACCTGAAACTATGAATGCCCCAGAAGTTTCCGACTTGTTCAACCTTATAGATTTCCCGCCTCCCAAATTTAAGATATGGTTTTGGTGAAATTGTCAGATGCCCGAAAACGAAAGATCTCAATCTCGGCCCACGCACATAGGATCCTCAGCACTTGGTTCAGGGTTTAGGGTTTAGGGCTTAATTTTGGAGCCTGCCATATGTTGAACCTGCCAGCAAAGCATGAGGGACGTTTTTATCGGATTCGCGCGATCGCAGTTTTGGATTAACGGTTTATGGGCCTGGTTGGCGAAGATATCCCAGGCCTTCCGCTGCACGCTAAAAGCTTGAAGCTGCAATATTTGGGTTTGAATGCTTGCTAATATTTGCTGCAAATATTATGCCTCACAACCCTTAAGCTCTAAGTGTAAGATGCGCTTCTGCACATGATAAGGCGCCAGTTTCAGAGCTTACCAAAGCAAGTTGTTCAACCCGACGAAACTTGCACACAGGCCGTTCGCTGTTCGGGCTTATAATAGGGTTTGTGTTTGTAAGGTCTTCTTAGCAATAAAGGGCCCTGTGTGGTGGGGTCCTTTTTGTCCAGAGACTCTCATGTGAGAATGGCTCGGATCCCAAGGATGCTACAGAGTTTGTGGTTACAGCTTGTAGGGCCTGTCTAGTATACAGATGTAGACAGACCCAGAGGTCCTAGAGTTTCGGTTTCGGGATTTCAGGCTAGATATCGTTCAGAGGGTACAGAGACAGGGGGTTTAGGTTGCTTCCGAACCGGGGAGGAAGGCTTCCGAAATCGTGCTGGGACTGTTCTCAGCATCATTTTCGCGTCTGAAAGCATTTGGTTGCTAATCCGAGCAATGCGGGTTCGAGATCCATACCGGGATTATGATCTTCGGGTTTGGGTTCGGACTTTGATGTCCAGACAAGTGGCAGTCGATGCTGCAACGCAAACCACGAGCCCTGAATCGCAAAGGTCCCCGGGCGGTCGCAATACGCCCAGACACCCCACATAGTATTACAGCTCTTCGTTGTAACCTGCACTTGTAGGGTTCTGCATCACCTTGCACAGCTTCTGGACCAAGGACGCCCGACCAGCAGGTCTTTCTGCTCCTGGACTCGTGCTCGCAATAGTTGGGGGAACGGGTTTACGGCTTTCAGGGTTCAGGGTTTCTCGGGGAGTCGCTAGTGGGGTCATAGTCAAAGTGCTCATGGCCCTAAACCTTAGGGTTTGTAAGAGCTTAGATTTTAGCAGGACTGCACCAGCGTCACGGATCTTTCTTCCGGCTGCGACTTCTGTGCAGTTCGCCTGAGCTTCGACACCCGCGCGCCTGGACGGAACTCAGCATCAGTCTTCGGGTTTAGGGTTTTAGAGTTTAGGGGTTTAGAGGTTTAGGGGTTTAGGGGTTTAGGGGTTAGGGTTTTAGGGCTTTAGGGTTTTATTCAGGGTTTAGGGATTTAGGGTATTAGGGTTTCAGGTTCAGGGTTTAGGGTTTGGCTTTCCAGTGCTTTGCGCCGTTTCTCGTTCTCGAATCTGTTCTGGAGGGTTTCTGACACCCCGAACACGCTGAACCCCACACGAGACCCTTTGCTCCCGAACCCTGGGTTTGACTTGAGCTTATGAGTTCTGCGATGCCGTTTTATACCATTTTATATGACCTTCACATTCCTCTAAACTCTAAACTCGTGGCTGTTGAGGATTCTTACAAGTTTGAGTATTCATGGAGGAAGTATAAACCCTCTATCCGAAACCCTATAAAACCCTAAAATCCTAAAACCCTAAACCCCAAGCCCTAAAACCCTAAAGCCCTAAAGCCCTAAAACCCTAAACCCTAAAACCCAAAACCCAGGAGCTCAGGGACCATGGTAAGTAGCAAGTAACAGGGACTCCGAGAGCCCCGAAGCCGCAAAGCTCCAGCCTTTTCGTCACTTTTTGTCGGAGGTCCTGGGCCGAGTTCCTAAGTTTTGAGGGCTTTAGAACAATTATCAATGCCATATCCCCCCCGTAAACCCTAAACCCTAAAGGCCCTAAGCCTAAGCCCAGGATTTCTTAAGGCCAAGGCTTCCCGCTTCTCGGGTTTCGTTGGGGGCCTTGCTGCATGTCATGCGTAGCTTGCTTTCAGAGTTTAGGTAAGTGGGCGTCTCTTCTGGGGCTTACTTAGGACATGGCATTCCTTTGTTGCTGTCCCAAATAACCCTTTTTGTGCCCTGCGGTTTTCTGGTTTGCAACCCACCCAACCTCCCCCCCCCCCAGTCCCTCCTGACCCTTTTAGTTAAGCCCACGGAAGTAACTCTTGCTTACAAGGCGCCGGCACTCCAGTGTCCAGTCTTTACCGTTTGGCGGGTTTCCGAAACCTGGCTAATGTAGGGACCTAAATAGTTACCTATACAATTTTGGGGGCTCCTTATCATAAGTAAGTACAGTATGATGGGCCCCAAGACCCTATTCTAATTATTCAGGCCCCTATATTAGGTTCCCGGTTCCAGAATGGTCTCGAGCCGTTGCTTCCCAGGAAGTGCGAGTGGAGAGCCAGAAGCGCAACGCGACGACGCAAACGCTCCGAGACATGATGTGCAAGCCTAGCAGGGGGTTTTGTCAAGGGTCCATGTACCTATAAGGGCAGACCTCGGCCTTTTCGTGCCTATATATCTTGATATCTTGATACATGTATACACACACATATATATATATACATATATATATACATACATGACATAATTATGTATGTTATGTTATGCTATGCTATGCTATGTTATGTTATGTTATGTTATGTTATGTTATGTTATGTATACCAGTATGACAGACAGACAGACAGACAGACAGACAGACAGACAGACAGACAGACAGATGTGTGTATACACATGGCAACCCGGTATTGTGGTCTACTCCGATGAGTCCTCGAAAGCCCCTGAGTAACGCTTTGTGAGAGTTTGGGAGAGCCCTGAACCATGGAACTTTAAACATGAAATTAGCCGGGAGCTTGCCACCACGGTTCCCCGAGTCCCAAGTACGACTTGGGACCGAATCTGTGGTCTACCTGTATCCCCAAACTGTACGTAGGGTTTTGGGTTTCCAGATAGAGCTTTGGCTAGAGTCGGGCTTAAAGTCTGTAGATAGCACCTAGCTTGGCAGTCAGGGTAAGCAGTGAAACCTGAAGTATTGATGAAGTGTTGACATCCATCTGAACACCGCGTCCTGCACTGTAGCTCTGACTTGCACCCGTGCTTTTTCTGAATAGCTTCAAGAAGGATCCTTTTGTCTCTTTGGGATTCCCGCTCTCACACAACACCGCAACAAAGCACACGCAAAGCAGCCCAATGCCCGAAGATGAGTGCCCTCAACTTTCAGTGCCCTAAACTGTATGAGTTTAGGGTTTAGGATTTGGGGCCCTGAACCCTAAACCCCCTAAACCCTAAACCCTAAACCCCTAAACCCCTAAATCCCTAAATCCCTAAACCCTTAACCCTATAAGATGGAGACTCTAGGGGGCCGGACCGGAGGCTCTTTGCGCAGCCCGGCTGCGCGCTGCTGCGGCCACAAAGCTACGTCACCGTACTGGCCGGGGGGGTGGGGGGGGCTGTTCAGGTGTAGCCCCCACTGTGTTTTTCCATGGGCACTGAAGGCGCTGAAGATATAAATATGTACATGTATATACACATGTAGAGGCAGTGACTCCTCAACCTTGATGCAAAGAAACTAGGTGGAATTCCATGGCGAGACCATGAACCTGTCGTTGAGCGGCGTGTCGGTGGCCCTCAACCTTCCTTTGAATAGGTCGGGTGAGGGGGTGGAGCACAGGGCTTTGGTCTTCGGGTTCAGGGTTTAGCCCTTTCAGCAAATGCCATATGAGCCTTAGGTCATTCGGTTCATGGTATTGTTACGATACGCTGCCATATATAAGGTTCCTAATTAATCCTTGACCCTTAATCTGCACTCAATTATCTGCCGCTGCGTTCCTGCATCACTTCTTGCTAGGGCTAGGGCGGTCTTACTCGGGGGGGCGGAGGCAGAGCAGGGTTTACGCATCGTAGGGTTTCGGTTTGTCAAACTTTGGTCGGAGCTTCATTGCGACACACAGCCAAATGTATGCTGAGAGTCAGCTACAGTTAATAGGCATGTTTAGTTGAAGCACTTTGGGAGTATGCTCTGCTGCTGTTTCCACTACTGCCGCGAAGTGTCGCAAGAGAGCTCTGGAACGTGCACAAGAAATCCTGAACTCCGGATGAAGCAGTGCCCTAGCCTCAAGGGCCGAAGGGGTCCATGTACCTACTGTGCAGTTAGGCCTCACCGTACCTATGTAGGATCCCTCTGAGGCTGGTGCATGGACCCAAAGAGTGGCCTCATGTGGAAGGGGCACTTTTAGGGCCTTGAGGGAGCCCAAACTTCTTGTGACCCTCTTTCTGCGAACTTGCGCAACAGCCCCGCTCCAGACCCTGCACAACGGTAGGTTATGGCCCCCTAGCTTTTTAGATCATCGCTTCGACGCCAGGTAGGATCCGCCCGTAAACCCTCAAAAGGGTGAATCCCTGCAGGCCCGGAAGCTAAACACCCGATACACCCTACCTAGAGTCTCCATTCTTGTTCCTTTTTTTGGTGAATTTAACCCATTTTTTATATATTCTAAGGACCCTACAAGGTAACACCCCCCCCCCCCCAAAAGGAACGACCATGGAGACGAGAGGTCGACCCTGAAACCCTAAGAGCCTAAACCCGGGAAGCTCTGAAGGCCAAAGCCCTCCACCCAGGGCAACCCCGAAATTGAAAGCCTAAGCCTAAGGGTCATAGGTACTGTTCTGGGCACGGTTTAGGGTTCCGGGTTTAGGGTTTAGGGTTAGCATACAATCCAAGCCCGTGCTCAAAAAAGGGTTATGGGGGGTGATACTTTCCCAAATCATAACAACGATATAGAAACCGCCCTATACTATGCTACCATAGAAGTACTTTGGACCCTTTGGGTATAAGTATAAGGCTATGACATAGAGGACTTCAGAAAGCCTGGGGCTGGCAGTGGCGTGTGGATGGACTCGGATTCTGGAGTTTAAGGCGTGTTGGTCTATAAGGTCCTAGGCTTAGGGCTTCAGGCTTAGGCTTTGAGGTTTTTGGCTGCAGGGTTTAGGGTTTAGGAGTTTTGGCAAAAAAGAGGTTTTTCAGGGATATGTTGTTGGCGCTTCAAGTTTCGGCAAGGCAATAGACACACGCGAATCTTCAGCCCGATTCGCAGAACCCTAGCCTCTAACTACTATAGTGTCGAGGTGTCTAGAAGCTCTAATCAGGTACTGTATCCCCAAAACCCCTACTTTGCTTATCTGCTTCACTTATAACCCCCTACAGCCTAAACTCCAAACCTCAAGCCTTTGTAGGAGCCGCAGCGGCGAGACAACCAACGTGGGCCTAGCGGTCTACGGGCCCGGAGGGAGGGCAGCTTTCAGTCTTGTTCTGGATCCCCGAAAATCCTACGGAAGAACCTAAATTCTTAATCCTTAAGAAAGTCTTTGAATCTGACTATAATATAAGGATCTCTCTACACGTCATTGTGCAGGTTGTAGGCTTTGAGAGTCATTCAGTGTTACACAGGTTCAACATAAGGTGTTTTGGGGGGTTTAGGGCTTATAGGGTTTAGGGGTTAGGGTATTTACGAAACAAAAAAACTTATAATATTTGGAATAGGATTTAGGTTCGTGATCGTATAGTTCTACAGAGACCATAAAAATACTTTGCAGTGCTTCTCCAGACCTCTGCGCTGCCCCTACACTAGATCTGCTTTCTGATTTCTTATTCTGGCACATCATCTGTTGTCTTATTCTTATTCTGGCACATCATCTGTTGTCGTATTAAGTGACGTTGGGCACTTCCGAATACTGTGGTTCTACCTTCTTGGTTTTTGTTCAGGAACTTCGACTAGATGAGTATAGTCTTCGTTGTAGTTTCCTCTTTAGTTAACCAGTCGTGCGGTTAGGATTTTCTAGCCGAAGGTAGCCAACAAAAGGAACAACGATGGAGACTATATACTCAAGCTACCACAAGAAGGATACACGGCAAACGTATAACTTTCTTCTTGACCTCGCTGGTTTCTTTCAAAAGCCGTAGAACCATGTAACAACCCTTTAAGCCCCCCCCCCTTAAACCCTCATAACACCTGCTTGACGCTAGGAAGTCGCGCTGCTATGTTCGCCGTTTTCGCCTCGCGGCACTGCCAAAGGATGCGGTGCCGGAGGTACCCGCCATGGTTCCTGATTCCCCTATCTGTCTGTGCATCTCGGGTTTGGGGTTTATGATTTTCACTCGGATTTAGGGTCGTGGTACCCAGCGATTGAACTTGTTTGGTTGAGTTTTCTGTATGATTCTGAGTCTTAGGCTCTCAATTCCCCAAACAGCGTGGTAGACACGATGGAGTTCTTACTCGCAGACTTGATTTAGATAAGTTGTTGCTGTTTCCCTCCCAACCGCTCGCTGAAAAGCTCCCCCACAGCGTGGCTTCCCAGGTTGTGCAGAGCACATGTTGCGTTCGCGTGGTTCCGGGTCCGGAGAGAGGGGGTCATTGCAAATTAAACAACCTGGACCAGGCATGCTCGAAAACCTTGAATCACAGCACAGTAACGTGAGAGCAAGGATTGCCGAGGCAGTCGGCAGTCCTCCGAACTCTTGCCAGCCTATGGGGTCAGCAAAAGGGCCGTGCTCCTCAGCACTTTGGGGAACGTATTTGGGCCGTGGTCCTGACTCTGGGGGGAAGATCTGAGATGTGATCTTGAATACCAACAGTACTTGGGTGGAGCGTTGTGGCCGTACCTATAGTCTCCATTGTAGTTCCTTTTTGGGGTTACCTTGTAGGATCCTTGATGTAGAATTGGTTAAACCAAAAAATAGAGAAATAGAAATTACAATGGAGACTATAGGTACTACTGAATCCGACCAGTACCTGGAGGAAAGCACAAGTTCTGTCCGTGTCCGGATGGTCTCCTCGTGGTCTGCTGGTTGTTTGGGGTCTCCTGTCATTGAGTCGTCCTGGTCGCCATGGTCGTCGGGGTGGGGATATGTGCAGATCTATGCCGTTCGAATTGATCTTCTCTGGGCAGGGCTATTTGGGAAGTCAGGCAGCAGAATTGGGAATATGTTGTCGTATTGGCAGTACTGGGCTTCTGCAGGCGAGGATGACGCACCAAGCTCGTCAACATAGATAGATTGTATTTGTCTTGTATGTCCCCACAATCATAAAGTATGGCACTCGCAACAGGAGGATATTGGAGTTGCAGGTACAGAATTATCCCTTAAAACCAAATCTTGCCAGCAGCGGAGCTGCGACTTAGAGCAGGCATCCAGCACCATGGATGAAGCAACTCTTTCCCTGGGTTTAGGGTTTACCTATAGTCTCCATTGTATTTCCTTTTTGGGGTTGCCTTTTAGGATCCTTAATGTAGAAATTGGTTAAGCCATACAAAGGAACTACCATGGAGACTAGAGGTAGGGCTCGAGTACTCAAGATGGGTACGGGTCTTTGAGAGCCCCAAAATCTGGATCTCCCGGGGGTTTCTATCTATAGATGGCTTTCAGAGTTTAGG